TCAGCCTTTTCAACTACACTTGCCTCATTAGCTTAAGTTACACTTGTCTGATGGTGGCGACATACTCAGAAGAAACAAGTGAGACGTGTACCTCAGAGGCAAGGAATGAAAACCCTACGTGGGTACCGGTGAGCTCTCCGCTGGCTGGGTCCCACTGTACACAGCACACCGAGCCCCCTCTGATGCTCCGATGAGACCAAGGAAAGTTGAGATCATGGAGTGCCCACTAATTCTCCTGGGACTAGGGGCACCAGGGGCCTCCTAAGGGTCACACTGATCCCTCCATCTGAGAGGAATCCAGGGCTCAAACATAACAAAGGGAGAGCCAAAAATGGCCTCAACAGGGAGCTGAAAATGAGGTCATTTCTGTGCCTTTCCAAGAAGGAAGGCCAGACTCCCCTAGTTCAGATTTGGACAAGACAGCTGAGGGAAATGAAAGGGCAGAATCTCCTAAACAAGCCTGTCCTGCGAGGACAGGGCTGAGGGAGCCACCATTCCAGACAAGGACGGCAGGCTCTAACTGTGCCTAGGATTTTCAGGGTCTAAGAGGGAGCAAGGGTCCTACTCTGAGGGCCTCACGTGGAAAATTCTGCTCTCCTTCCACAGTCAGTCTTAACTATATGTTAGGGTCTGGAGCCAAGGACCAGATTTCAAGTTCCAGCTCTTGCATTTGTGATGAGAACTTGAGCAAGTTACTTAATTTCCCTAAGCCTCAGTTTTCTCTTCTGTAAGACAGACACAATTACAGTCCCTACGTTACTAGGCTGTTGTGAAGATTAAACAAAATAATGCAAAACAAAAACAAAAAAATGTTCAGCCTACTGTCTGGTACGTAGTAAGAATTGAATAACTTAATTATTTGCTTGCCTACCATTAGGGTAGCCTTAATCTCCAAGGGATCATCACTGAGGGTTTTAGTGAAACAGACCACAATGTCCCCTCTGGTTGGGTCCAAATTATCAGGCCAGAGGGGCAGTGGAGGATAGTGCCTAAGACTCTGGATCTAGACTGCCTGGTCAAAATCCTAGGTCCACTATTCTCTATCTGAGTCACTTTGGATATTCGATTTCACCTCTCTGAACCTCCGTTTCTTCATCTGGTTATGAGGATAATAGTAAAATTGCCCCAGAGGGCTGTGGTGTGGATGAAATCAGCTAATACATGTCGACAGCGGCTGGCACGTTTTAACTGCTCCGTCAGTTCACACAAGCTGTTATCCCCATGCTGTGAGTCTCTACTTTGCTCATATACATCATATGGACACTGAGAACCACTTCCCTATTCAGATGTTCTCACGACATCATCACAGACGTGTCTTAATCTGGGAAGACTAGGCCTCCTAAATGCTTTCAATGTCATTCTTTGTCATTTGACAAACCAGAAACGGTTTGGGCCCCTTTCTCCCCTTGTCACACCCACCAATGCCCACCATCTCCACCAATGCCATGTGCCCAAGCACACATTTCCTGCGGGGTCTCTGAGGTGCTCAATGGTACAGGGAGTTGGGGAGACCTGAGTCTTCTGGACCCAGAGCTACGTGGGCCTCTGCCCAATATGATGACCCACCAGGGCTGCCCGGAGCCTCCCGGCACACAGTGGACACTCAGTAAGCATCTGCTATGTGGTGAGTCAGATGGCAGGTACCAAGGCCACAGGCAAGAACATCCTGTAATGTGCTCATAGCATCAAAGAGATTAGGAGAAAAGAAAACAAGACCAATGCCCAAGAACTGCACCCCACAAATGAAGCCCATTGAACACAGTGAGCCCCAGAGACAACACGCAGATCTGGTAATTACCCCTGAAAGCAGAGTCATTTGATTTTTGCTGTTTGCTCCTCAGAGGAGAGGAAGAGCCGCAGGTGACAGAATAGGCCTCTTGCAGTCCTGACAGACAGAATGTGGATTGTCAGCACGTAAGCAGGGTTACAGTCTCTCCTGGTGGCAGCTCCAATCACCCCCCCACCCCTACTCCACGTGGACCACTAGAAAAACCCCCAGAACACAGGGTCTCAAAGCATGGGCCTCCAGTGGTCAAAGACCTGGAAGCCCTTTGAGGGCATCTAACACCAGGAAGGCCTAGCCCTGACATGAGGACCTGCCCCAGGGCCTGCGACCCACTCACCTGAAGAGAGGTGAATGCCAGAGTGACATCTGAGGAAGCACCTGTCTCCTCCACCACTCCTACCGCACTGCAGGGACACGTGGGGCGATACACTAGTGGGCAGGACCCCCTTCACTTCTAGACAGGACAAAATACAGACACTTACAGAGAGAGAAAGACACTTCCTGGTGTGACAAGGACAGCTGGATCCCATGCATCACAGGGCCCAAGAAAAGAAGGGAGCACTGACACCCACCAGAGAACAGACACCCCGCTTACTCCCCCAGGGTAAAGGAGCGCCTTGTATGCTATTCTTCCCATGCAGAAAAGCAACCAGGAAAACAGACGGGAGTTCCAACTACGCAGAAGCACAGAAGGAAACACCAAAGAGCCTGCAAAGTATCTCCTGTTTTTGAACTATGTAAAGATCGGCTGCTGCAGCTGAGGGGAGGAGAGGTCAGCGGAGGGACAGTGAGCTGCACTCCGGGTCCAGCCGGATGTGGAGCGTGCTGCTGGGCCAGTGTGAGCCCACGCACGGGGTCCGAGCCTCGGCGCCTCTTACCCACACAGTCTTTTTTATTCCAGTGGAGCTTGTACGCAGAGTGGCACTGGCATTCATAGCTGCCCACTGTGTTCACACAGATCTGCTGGCAGCCTCCGTTGTTGACGCTGCACTCGTTGGTGTCTGTGGAACGAAACACTCTTGGTCACAGCAGCCCATCCTGACCCGGCTGACACTACCCCTCCGCTGAGGAAGGAGCAGGGGGGCGTCCCGCGGCTGAAACTCACTAAACAAAGGGAAGGTGCTGGCTGCCTTCAGAATGTGCACTCGGCGCCAGCTGACGCCACTGCCCACTCAATGCATTTCCTGGCATGCACCTCACCAGGATGGTCTTGAGTTCCATTTTTCACCAAACAGTTCCCCCATTAAGGACACTCAGGAACGGTCACACTCTACTTTCAGATGTCAGAATCAGACACTGCACAGGCTTCCAGTTTAAAACCCCACCATCCTCCTGGGCTACGTCCCAAGGGAGATAGAGAGAATTAGGATTCCCCACGTGACAGTTCATATAGCTGGGGTGTAGATAAGAAAAATGACTTGCACTAATCCTCATTAACCTGAGACTGAGTCCAGGTCAGAAGGTGACTCCAGCTAAAACCTAGACACACATCCATATTTAGGGAGCATTTCCTTGGGGTTTCTTGATGGACTGGAAGAGTATGATTTTAGCCATGCCAGGGATAAGTTGAAAAGGAAGAGACACAACACTATCTATAGCAAATCACTACTATCCATTCTTCTTAAGGACATAGGACACAAGGACTGGGCAGGAAGTACTTAGGCCAGTGGTTCCCACATCCTCAGATACCCAAAACCACCTTGGAAGCCCTAGACATTTGGAACCAGACTATGAATCTGTATCCTCAAAGACTGCTGAATGCATCTGATGATTAGAAGGAGGGGAGGAACGCCGAAGCTGATTTAAGCCGTAGTCTTACTTGGCTGTGAGGTCATGAGACGTCAGGACATGTTGCTATAAGGGCTCAGAGCAGAGAGACAGAGTCAGTGGTCCCACTTCCAGCTCAGAGAGCTGCACAAAGAGCTTGAACCAAGCTCTGCAGCCAGTTCCAATGCACAGCAGGGCTGTGGAACTGACTGACGCACTGCCAAGCCTCTCCAAGGACAGTGACTTTACTAGTTCCAACAGATAGGGTATCAACTCCTGAGGGATCCTCCCATTCTCTGCATACAACTGCATCAGTAAAGTCCCTAAAGAATTCATGGTCCAAATTGCTCACCCTTCTCTCTGGTCTGTGTCACACTTGATGAGTCAAAGGGATAAATGTAGGAAGATTTCCTGTAGCAGATGCTTCCCTTGAGTTGATGGACTCGCTACTCTTGTTCTGGGACTGGTATGTCCGGTTCATCCCCCGAGGTAGAAAAGTTATCCCTGGTCTGGGGAAACCTTAGGAGCCTCATTCGAATCTAGAGTGATTCTGCTCACCTCCACAGTGGGTAAAGCCATAGAGCGTGTATCCTTTGTTGCAAGCACATGCAAATGTGCCAGGGTGGTTGATGCAGCTGTGGTCACAGGTCCTATCCAAAGAGCATTCATCCACATCTGTAATTGTCAGAGAGAGGAGAGCTGAAACCAACTCTGAGAGACAAGTGGAGAGAAGAGCATGCTTATAAGAACGCTAGCTGCTGTCCAACAACCAAAATAATAGAGTGAAAAATTATCTATCAGTTCTCCTGCCCACTTGTGTTAAAGAAAGGGTTGAGTAGCCCACAGAAAATATACTCACAGCCAGGACTCTTATTTCCAAATTCTATTGCAAAATGCATTTGCCTAAAAGCTCCGTTGTTCTCTCTCACCCATGCTTACCTGCAGGGCTGAGTAATTTTAAATATCTCAATAAAGTCAAATGAGATAACATACCTAAAAATGGTTTGTAAACTACAAGGTGCCACCTGTGCATTATTATTGTTTTATTACTAATTGGTGAAAAAAAAGCTATAGTAATTTTATAAGCTATGGCCAATTAAAAGAAGGAAACACTTGAGCTAGAGATAAATCTGGTTCCTATCTCTTTCAGATCTTGCCAGAATTAGTCTTCTGGTCCCGGGAGGCCAGTTGATCCTGGGTTTTGATGCCCTCTGAATTAAAAGAATGCATTAACATTAACATCCTTGGACACATGGCGATGTGTGAAGGGGATAAGCAGCAAGAATCTACTATATAGCACAGGGAACTATATTCAGTTCTTTGTAATGAGCCATAATGGAAAAGAAACTGAAAAAATATATATGTTTGTATGCATGTATAACTGAATCACTTTGCTGTACACCTAAAACTATCGTTGTAAACTGACTACACTTCAATAAAAAATAAGAATAATAAAAAATTAACACCCTTGGTGATTTTCTGTTGCAGACACCAAAATTTGGTGCTTAAGCTCCAAACAGGATCCTCTTGGCCAATCCCCTGGCTTCATTTCTCTCCCACCACCAGTCCCATGGGGGCCCTCACTTCCCGGTTCAGTGTGGAGGCATCCTTGACTTCAGTTGAGATCACAGAAACTAACCTTAGGAGGCTGCATTTGTCAATCTAATCATGCCTTCTTCCCTGGTCTGATTCTCACATCTTTCCTGAACACTAGAATTTCAGTGCTTCATTTCCTCAACCCTTCGGAAGGTTTTAACAGAGTTAAGACTTGTGTCTCCAAATGGATAAACCAGGAACAGTGCAGGACTCAGGGGGAAGCCAACTAGACCATTGCTAGATCACTTTTTCAATGCCAAATGTGCCACGAGAAACTATGTTAATAAAAAAAACAAACATTTGGAAGGAACTCAAGGAATGAAAAAAATGAAATTATAAAAAGGCAAAATCTTACAAAATCTCTTCATCCGTAACTTTTCCCAGAAGTCCTGGAAATTTCTTCAGTAAATTTTTGTTCTGTGCAAATATTTGTTCTACCAAGACTGATTAGTAAAAAATAAGAAAAAGTTCATTTCTTCTGTAGTAATTGAGGTCATTCTATGAATTCTGTTAATATCAGCCAGCTACCCAGAAAGTAGGCTTGTTCAGTAGCAGACTTTGGCTGCTCATGTCGGGCATTTGCATTGCCAAAAATAATGATATCACTTTTCTAATTCCTTTTTAATGTATTTACACAGCTTAAACAGTATTTCTTGCTCTATACATTATGAAACATTACGTGGAACAGCAAATTTGCTTTCCAAGTCAAATGGAAGGAAACCATGCAGTGATCATCCAGAATGAACTTGCTGGATTTAAAGGGGGTTCTATGTGAAGTGCCTGACAAATTATGCATCAAGAAGAAAAAAACCAAGGGAGAAACCTGACTGACACCGTAAGATTGTAAAAAGACAATGTTGCATCTTTATTAGCTAAAGTGAAACCAGATGTTATTTTCTGATTTTGATTTAATTCTGGGATTTCTAACAACATAAGTGAGGTTGTCCTTATTCTCAGAAATGGAACAGGAATAAACAACAGCCCATCTTTCTTGAGAGCTTCTTCCTGTATATCAATTGGGCATAAAGATGCTCCTCTGAAAATATAAATGATGTCCCCCAACCCAGAACAGCTTATCATTGTCCAAAATAATTATTAATGTCAACAACTGCTACCCAGAGAAGTTCCCTTGCCGCAGCCCTTATGTGGGAGGAATGTGCCTGAGAAGGGGACTGAAATCTTGCCCATGGACCACCCAGCCTTTCCTCCACTCAATCCCCTCCCTCTCTCACCCGCTTCCTTTCCCCAAACACCAAAGGCTGGTCATTCAAACAAGGCCCATAAGGAAGAGACCACCTGGTACAAGATGGTGATTATGAGTTGACCTCAACTTTTTGCTGGGAAAAGGTATGTGAACTAAATCAACATCTTTTGCCACCAAAAATCCATAACATTAAAGGAAACTTCAGAAAAGGAAAATTATTCGTAACCTCAACACCCTAGTGCAACCCTGCTTGCATCCTGCGGTCCACTCTGCTTCTAGCAGCTAGTTCTGCTGTGATCTCACCAGATGGGTTCTTCAAGGTGTTCTCTAATCATTAACAGCTTAATTTCCAAAATATACCCGTGAGGTACCTCAGTGCTTGTATTTTACTAACAGATGAAGTAAGTGAAGCACAGGCTGGAGGTTAGATTAATGACTCTGGTGAGGAGCCCAGCGGGTGGGGTCTTGTCTTCTGCGTTCCAACCAGTGGGCATTGCACAGCACGGCTGCGATTCAGCACATACCTTGGCAAGACTTCTCATCGGTTAATAATTTAAATCCCTTTTTGCAGCTGCAGTCAAAACTGCCCACGGTGTTTTTGCAGAAATGATCACAACCTCCATTGCGCGTCTGGCACTCATCAATATCTGTAACAGGCAAGCATCGGCAAATCAGACCGGGGTACTTTTCTTGTTTTCCACAAATCCCTAAAGTGCTATTGTGTGCACTTCATTATCCTCGGAAACAAAAACAGACCCATAAAAGCAGTTAAGGATGTTTGCTGATGTCTTTAATCTTGACACATGTTCTCCTTTCTGGCATTTTGAAAGAGAAGTGCGTGGATCCCCAGAGAACTCTGGCTTAGGCTACCCTTCCCTTGACTAGCGTTAAGGAAATAAACTATGGGAAAGACTGGTGATGTCCTAGTATATTCTCACCCTTGCACTAGTCTCTCAGGATAAGATGGCTTCCTTTCCTATCCTTTCCATTCCAGTTTAATGATTAAAGTTATAAGGAACTAGAGTTTTTTGGCAAATTACACAACGATCAAATAGCCTCAATGCTTTTAAATGATTTCTGATACTCAGTTAATCTTATCTTTTCTCAGTTTTATCTGGTAACTGGTTATCTACTTTTTTTTTTAAATCATATTAAAGAACTAAGCCTTTGTACTCTTGCCTGTGAAATACTAACAGGTCATTGGGGTCTCTATTCATCAGTACAATTAATGGTACAGTTATTCATTAAGTTTCTGGATAACAATCTTGGCTGTTATTTATATAATAATCTCTAGGCTGTTATTTATGATTTGATGATTATTATCTCCTGCAAATGAATGTTTCCTTGAACACCGCTTTTTTTTTCTAATAAGGCCACTGCCTGAAATGGATCATTTGATGCTTGTAGAAGCTGACCTTCTCAACAGTTAGTGTAATTAAGGTGGCTCTAATTAAGCTTACTCAATTATAACCTTTTACTAGCCCAAGGAAGAGAAGCCTCCATTTGAACAATATGAATCATAAGCAAATCTGGAGTCACTCAGGAGGCATGGAGGGGGAAAGCTGCCTTTCTCCCCACACCTTGGCAGCATGGAGAGGCACAGGCTACCTTTACAGGTCTTCCCATCCAACTGGAGAGTGAATCCGATGGGACAACTGCAATGAACACCTGTTGAAGTGTCTTTACAGGTGCGATCGCAGCCTCCATTGTTGACAGCACATGTTTCTGCCAAGGAGGGAAGAAAAAGGCAGTTAGCTTCCTAAAGAAGTGCTGATACAGCTGGGAGGAAAGGGATATCAATGCAGCATTAACATTTGACGAAATTCATGAAAATCAGGAAGCATGTGGAGTACTCACGGTCATACCCCAAGTCTCTGCCAGCTGCAGGTGAGTTAGAAGGAGAACAGGTGCAGCTCCTCCCCATCTAAATAAGTGACATCTCTCAAGGAAACCTGACAGGGTGGCATGAGAGATGAATATGCCTCTGCCAACCTGCTAAGCCTTCCCTCTCTACTGGCAGATTTGAAGCCACTAGAAGTTCCTGTTGGTCTACAGCCAGTGACCTGCTAAGTATGACCACAACTGGCAGAACAGAGCAAAGGGGGGACGCTCCTTCCCTCATCCTGAACCTTCTCTATTCAAGGTGAGTAATGGACAAAGCAAGAGAGGGTAAACGTGGTCCACCCCAACCACTCCCTTGCTGTAGATGAATGACTTCATCCTTGCAACCACCAATTAACTCCTATTAGAAGTCTACCTTTCCTTGAAAGGAGAAAGATTTGTCATATTTACATGAAAAATCAGCCACAATTGTTAAATCACACTTATAGAGATGAGGAACAACAAGCTAATGGCCTCCTAGTTCTGCATATCATACAGTAATTCCAAGTAATAGACAAATGCCATTCATTCAACTGCTAGCATCCAGGCATCCAGAAACTGATTTTACTTCCAGAGCTACCTCACTGTAAAGCCTCAGGGGGCAAGCTGAGTTCTGATTAAATATGACAGACAGAACATGCATGTTTATCTCTGTTTCCTCTCAAAACCTCACTGAAATGAGAGTAAATAGATTTTTTAAGTATACATCCTTAAGGACAAGTAAAATAGAAGACAACAGATGAAATATGTCACATTTGGAAGTGGCATGTCAATGGAATAGCAGGAAGTTCAACACTAGCAGTCTGCAGAGGATGCCAACAAGTGGGAAGCTCGTGTGAGCCTCAGAATCCCAGAGAGGCTCAGGAATTGAGGTACTAACGTTACTCTAGAGGAGGAGGTGAGGAGGGAGTTAAGAACAGGAAGATGGATTGAGAGTCTATGACAAATAAGCCTCCAGATAGCCATCTTAGTTCCACAGCCCACAGCCCATCCCAATTTGGGCTACAGCAGACACATTTATCCTCTGGAAAAGTCAGACCAGAGAAGCCCTGGACTCAAGGGCACCAGTAACAGCAGAGGAGGGAGGGCGAGGCACTGTCAAAGTCTACCTTGTGAAAAGACAGGTCTCAAACTTTCAGCCCCACCCCCACCGCCCCAGTTCCCAGAGAGCTGGCAGCCAAGCCTATACCCCCAGCAGGAGACTGAAGGATTCATCTCCAGCTAAACTGACCTGCCCAAGTGAAAAGACCTATAAATATTGGCATTTGAAGATCTCCAAATGAAATGACTAAGCCACTGCCTAGTCACCCAAGCATAAAGCCCAACCAGGCGACAGAATATCCAGTTGGCTTTTTAGTGTTTCACTATAAAATAAGAAAAGTTAGTGAGAATTACTAGACATTTCAGGAAAGCCTCTAATATGAAATAAATACACCAAATCAAGTAAACAGGGGAAAAGGAACCTGAAGGAAATAAAGATAATACAGAGAACAACAGAGAAGTTAGAAAATTTTATAATTAACTTCCTCAGGGAGGTAAGAAAAGTATCCATGGATAAGAACAGGTCCCAACAACAACAAAAAAGTAAAACTCTTGAAAAATTAAAATATGAAAGCCAAAATTTTAAGAGAATCCTATAGAAGGATTAGAAGAAAAGAAAGAAAGAAAGAAAGAAAGAAAGAAAGAAAGAAAGAAAGAAAGAAAGAAAGAAAGAAAGAAAAGAAAGAAAGAAAGCTCTCTTAGAAGGAAAAACAAAGATATCAAGAGGAAAGAGAAGAAAATTTGAGAAGCAATCCAGGAGTTACAACAGCCAGCTAACAGGAATTTCAGAGAGAAAGAACAGAGAAAATGGAGTAAAGAAAATTATCAAAGGAAAAATATAAGAAAATTTCTTAGAACCAAGGGATGCAAATGTCCCTCTTGAAAAGGCCTACTGAGTGCTCTGTATAACAGGTGGGACAAATTCCACAGTGTGGGACATTGCTGTGAAATTTCAGATCACTAGGGACAACGAGAAGACCCTGAAAATACCCAGAGAGAAGCTTTTGTAGGTTCCATACAAAGAATCAAGAATGAAAATGACTTCTTGAACAACACTGAATGCTCAAAACTCTGATGGAATATTCTTCCCAACTCTGAATTCTTTACTGAGCCAAGTTCTCAAGAAAGGGTGAAGGTAGAATATAAGGGCATTTACAGCCATGCAAAGTTTTAAAAAATCTATTTCTACACATGTAAATGGACAAAAGAGAAGATACGGGCTCTACCAAAACAGGAGCGTGGGGAAGGGATTTCCCAGCTGGTGCTCAGGGAGCGACCACGATGACAGCCCTGCAGCCAGCCCGGCAGTCAGGCCCCACTAGCGCAGGGTAGAAGCTTCAGAAGAAACTTTTAAAGAAGAAAATGGAATTGATAAGCTACCTGCTGTGTTTGAACACACTGAAAAAGGGTTCTAGAGCTCCGTCACAAATTTGCAGAAGAATTGGTAAGAGGTACTTAGAAAACTAAGCAAACAAAGAAGATACAATCACAGCACATACATGACTCAGGGGTGAACCATATTTAGGTATTCATAATATGTAAACACATATGTTGATTTAAATTGTAAAACTATATTAAAGGTGTGGGGGCGGAGAGTGCATGTGTACTAAGGGAGGCGGACAGAAGAGCTACAAGTTAGTCTTCTGCAGGAAGTCAAAAGCTAATATCTAAAACTGCCACATCAAGAAATAACTGTACACACTCCCTTTTCAGAAAGATGGGGGAGGGGGAGTCAGGAGAAGAAAAAATAACTAGGAGAATTTAAAATTGCTGCTTTTGGCAAATGGGAAATTATGAGACAAGGAAATGGTGTATTCCATTACAAGCTTAATGGTACTAATTAAGTTTTTAAGGTTTTTATATTATTCATATGCACTATTTAAAGGCAATTAAAAATAATAATTTAATGGGGCAGAAAAGAGCCCCATTATTTGGAGAAAACTCTAATTTGGAAAGATACATGTACCTAGTGTTCACAGCAGCACTATTTACAATAGCCAAGACATGGAAGCAACCTAAATGTCCATTGACAGATGACTGGATAAAGAAGATATGCTATATAAACACAATGGAATACTACTCGGCCATAAAAAAGAACGAAATAATGCCATTTGCAGCAACATGGATGGACCTAGAGATTATCATACTAAGTGAAGTAAGTCAGACAGAGAAATACAAATATTATATGATATCACTTATAGGTGGAATCTAGAAAAAAAGTGATACAAATGAACTTATTTACTAACCAGAAACAGACACACAGACAGAAAACAAACTATAGTTACCAAAGGGGAAAGGGGGGAGAGGCATAAATTAGGAGTTTGGGATTAGCAGATACAAACTATTCTATACAAAATAGATAAACAGCAAGCTCCTACTATATAGCATAGGAAACTATATTCAATAGCTTGTAATAACCTATAATGAAAAAAGAATATGAAAAAGAATATATGTATAACTGAATCACTATGCTGTACACCAGAAACTAACACAACATTGTAAATCAACTATACTTAAATTTTAAAAAGAAATGAGCCCAGAAATGCTACCTGCCTGGTAACTAATGGCTGCTTTGTATCTTACCTGACTATCAAATCCAGAAGCTATCAAAGATTGGTTTTGCTTAGCTCAAGCCAAGCTTTCTCCAGAATAATCATGCCAAAGCATCTGTGTGATTCCCACCCCCACAGCCACCGCCTCTGCATCTGCTCTCAACTCCAGCTCTGCTGGCAGACCTGCTGTCAGACCTTCCTGTGTCCCCAGCCAAGTGCCACTCTTCTCCATTCATCTCTTCTGCCATTAACACAGGCTGAGTCTGAAATAGAACACTCAGTGGACAAAAACCCAGCCAAATCGCCATGCTAAGTCGGGACTGCCCAAAGTGCCTCTCTTGCCACAGTTACTCCAAAGGAAGGGATCTGACATGCACTGACCAACCAAGTCCCAGGCATTGGACTCCGGGCTCTTTTGCATATTATTGTCTTAACTGAGCTTCCTGATAACCCTAAGAGGTCAAATGTATTACATCCATCTCAGGGAAAGACCAGGACACAGAGGCTCGGGGCAGTGTGTCCAAGTCTCACAGCCAGTCCCAGCAGCGCTGGGATGCTAACCCGGCTATTCCGACAGCTGAGCTGGCACTCTCCCCGCAATACCAGGGGTCTTGGATGGTGACTAAGCCACACAGCAAGGAGTGGAGAACAGACACACCCTGGCTTGACAGGAGTGCTGACTCTGGTCCGGCTGGGCTGAGGGCACACGGGCCCCAGCTGCAGGACAGACGCAGTAAGTCGGGGAGGGGAAGAGACAACGGCAGTGGCGGCAGTGGCGCGGGAGGAGGGGTGAGGCGCCTACCCATGAGCAGCCGTCGTTTCACCCGTTTATCCCCATCCGCCACGGATGTGGCATTGCTCTCCGTCACCTCCAGAGCGGCGTCCTCGCGCTCTGCAAGAGACGCAAAGAGCACAGTTCTTAGGCTGAATGAGTCAGATTGTTCATCCAGTGCACAGCCACTTCCACGGAAATCCCAGACATGAGAACAATGTGAGATATGTGACTCTGTTCACTCAATAAAAATGTGTTACAATGAAGCTCTATGGGAAACACAGCTTGTTAAATGGCCACAGAGCCTTAAAAAATATTAAATATGAAAAAGATTTTTTTTTGAAAAGTTTTTTTATTATACTGTACTGACCACAGACACTAGGGAATGCAAGCTTCAGAGTCATTCCAGAACCCCTAGTCCAGGACGAAAAGAATCTTGGATGGGCGAACCTCTAAAACGGAGCTAGCAAAGAACACCCCATGTAGGGCAGGGCAGGCCTCCTGCCAGAAATATGCAACCCTGACTCTTGCTGATGGCAAAGGCCACTGAGTCACCACAAACAGCTGGCTGTAACTTTGTGTTGTCCTGGCCTCTTGGGATGTGTTGTCCCAGTGCCCAGAATACCAGCTTTAAGAGTAGCCTAGTCCAGAAGAGGGGAAAGAGCTTTCCAAGATCTCACGGGGAGAAAGGGACCCCATCCCAGTCATGGACTGCTTTCTCTGCCCTGTGTGAAGCAGCATGGGACTTGTTTGAGGGCAAATGCACTGGAAACAGCCTGCATCTGGTACTAAACCCTATGAATAGTTAGGGTTAGGGTTAGGGTTCGGGTTGAGCAGGCTGGGGCAGACCCTAACCCAGTATGGGGGTCACCATTCACCAAGGCAGCTCCTCCCATCCGCGTGCATCTTGTACTGTGGATGGCAGCTGCACTCTGGGCCTTCAGCAGTGTCCTCACAGGAATGCTGGCATCCGCCATTTCCATGGTTACAGGTCACTAAGCAGAAAATGAATCAATACATAAAACACTGAGATTTCCACTACTGGGGCTGCGTTTGCTACAGAAGACCTCTGATTTCCATTCAGGAAGTACGTGAGCACCTAGCACGTGCTTGGCACTGTGCATAAGAGAACCTCAACTCAGGCCACAACCCTGTCTATGTAAACAGGTAGTCACAATATGACTGGTAGAAATGCTGAATGACAGATTTGAGCAATGTTATATAGGAAGATAGATGGGAAGGTTGGGGGACATTTTCACTATTTAACAGAAATTATACCAAAAGATTGTAAACTACTGCTTTGCTCTATCAGAAGTACTGGGGCATTTGGAAATGCTGTAGCACTTTATGACTGGAACAGACAGACAACATTTAATTTGTATGTATGTGTTAGGATTTCTCTCATCAGATTCCATCTGGATTAGTTAGAAGGGAGGGTAATCAGAAGAAATGATGACCCTTTGCACATAGTTAATGCAACATTAACCAATAATTACAAAGACTTTGTATGAACACATTAATGATAAGCCTCCACCCCATTAAAAAAGCCAACTACAAACCTATCTATTTGTCAAACTGAACAGTGGTTACCTCTGGCAAAGGAAATGGGAGAGGGAAAAGTTATAATATTTTCTTTACATACTTAAATTCTTGCACAATCATTTAAAAGAACTAAAAACATATTTGTGCTATGAGAAAAATATTGATCTGTGATTACAGCTGTGTACAAATTGTGTATGCATATAACAACTAAAAAGGAATATGAAGAAGCAAGACAACTGATTATGTGATGGAATTCTGGAATTTTTTTCTTGACTCTTTCCTCAGGTGTGATTATAGTATTATTTGAGCAGTGACATCTTAAAAACATTTAAATGTTTAAAAATAAGCTTTCAGGTATTCTACTGGCTCCTGACATGTGAAATGTGGAGAGTCTCACTCCATAGGTGAGTCTCCTGTGGAGACCTGGGTCCTCCATTCGAGGACACCTGGAGCCAGCCCCACTTTTCCGGGCCCTATGAGGCTGTCAGAACCTGTTATTGGTGATGGTGGCATCAGTCTTGGTTTGTCAGGCTTCAAGGCTGCACTCTGCTTTGTGATGGAGACAACAGATAGAAGTCTCTCACCGGCAAAACTACCCCCCATCTCTGAGTTCTACTCACTGTAAACAAGCATTCCTAGCAAATTGCAGTCTTCTAGAAGGTTCATGGCCTGGAGAAGAGTTCCTAAAAGGAAACCCTCATTGCTTCCTCTCGCATAAATCGTGGTTTAGTAACACCTTTAATGGCCGATTGCTTCCTGTTATCCGTTGGAGTTATTATTGTGTTTCATCTTGTGTAGCAGCTGTGTCTGGACTGTGTACACCATGTATTGACTTATCCGTCAAACAAATGCATATTGAGCATGTCTCGTGGTGGGCACCAAGGGAAGACCAAGAGGCAAAAATAAGACAAGATCCCTGACTTGGAGGGGCACAGTTGGGCAGACAGACACAGAAACACACAATTCAACCCAGAGTGCCACCTGCTATAATGGAGGAATGTACAGTGCTGTGGGAGCCAAAACACAAACTGGCTGCCTTGTCTGAGGCCACTGGGGAAGGCTTCTGAGCTCGTGCAGCATGGTGATTAAGAGCGTGAGCCTTAGAGTCAGGCAGATCTACGTCTGAAGCCTACAGTTGTCACTTCCTCCCTGTGTGACCTTCTAGCTGTACCTTCTGCACAATTTTCTCAAATGAAAATAAGAATACTTCGTTCATAGGATGGTGGCTGTAAGAATTAAATGGACTATGGTACCTCTTTGGACAATCTTTGCACACATTAAACACTCCCCCCACAGTAGGTATTACCTTTATCATTATTAGAAGTTCGGCAGGCTATTAAAGGTTGAGAATTTACCAAGCCAGGAAGGGAGGAAGGCTTGGAAAAGCCTTGGAGGCATGAAAGAGCACGGGCTGTTCTCCAAAGGGCAGGGAGTTTGGTGTTTGGGGAAAGGAGGCCGATGAGGTTTGTACAAGAAGCAGGAACCAGGTAGCAAAGAGCTGCCAGATAAGGAAATTTGATTTTATTCTGTGGGAACAGGGAGACCTGGTCCCCATCATTCACACTTCTTAGTCCTGAATGTTATTTCCTTCTGACTGGTTCCTTTGGAAAACTTCATTTCCCTTCCCTATGGGAGTCTACTCTTGTGTAGTGAACTTAGCCTCAGTGGAAGTCAGTGTCTCATGCTGGCTGCCTTCCCTGATGTTTCTGATACTGGGCTGCAGAAGACAACCTCTGGAGCAGGATGGTTCCCAGTGCAGGTGTGCGCCAGTCTGTACTTACAGACGCAGTCTCTCTGGTTCTTGGCCAGCTCAAAACCAGGCCTGCACTCGCAGGCAACGTTGCCCCTTGGGGCCTCCTTGCAGATGTGACTACAGCCGTGATTCTTATTCATGCAGCTCAGACCCTCTGCAAAACAGCAACATGCAGCCGGTGAGCGGGTTGCGTCAGAACCCTGAGCCCCCCGGGGTGCCTCAAGGGGCTGGGGGATGGGCACAGACCTGCCTGCCTGGGTGTCTGTCCATCAGCCCCACATTTTAAAAGAATATGTCATTCAAATGAAGCCAGGTCAATTAACAGAGATATAAAAAATTTCTTATGTCACCCAAGAGCTAGCATGTTTCCACTCCCGCAAAGAGGTGGGAGCCCTCCCAAAACACTGAGAAGAAAGGATCCACCAGAAGCACTCTGCTGGGTGTGGAATCGGAGCCTGTGGACCCCAGGAACTGGTCCTCAGACTCTTATCTCTGCCATCTTGTTATCCATGCCGGTCAAGAATGGGAGGAGATAAAAAGACTCTCTACAGAAATCTGCAGACTGACTGAGCCCCCGCTTTTTCACACACTCCTGAAGGTGATTTTCAGAAAATTTCAACCCTCCTTTCTACCCCCACCAAATCCACACTTCGGAAGTGACTGTGACTACCGTATTTTGGCATCACCACTTGGACACCTGCCCAGGGAGCTCCCTTATGTGACCACCTTCACTTATCGCTGGGCTCTCCCTCAGCAGGCTCGGAGCACAACAGCAGAGACAGCAGGGAGACCTTATACAGGTGGTTGCCTTTAGCTGCCGTGAAATCCTTTTCAGGCATACTATAATTTTCATTGGGCCTGATCTTGTGGTAACTGTGGTGGGAAGAGGATTATTTTCCTGGATGGTTTAACAGGCATCTAAATGATGGGGTCATAGCCAAGTAGACATGTGTGGTTTGCCAGCCTCATGCCTCTTCTCAATACCAATTCTTGAGAACTTTGCCACCTCCCAGAACTCTGAAGGAACTGTTCTCACACTCCAGAGTATCCTCAAAACCTCTGCCTGGTTTCTATGACATTAATAAGTACATATTCATGTGATGCTTCTTTCCATTTGTGCAATGCAACTCTAAAACATCTTTGAGGGTAGGGGTTTTGTTCTCAGGGATTCTCTACTAACATAATACTTTCTAATACTGAAAGTGGCACTGTTATAACATGAGTACAAAAAATTTTCATTCAACTTCTCTACGATCCAATACTGTTCTCTGCTGTGTCCTGAAAACCTTAGCCAATTGGTTCTAATGAAGTCAAAGTCATTTCTCTCCAAATCTCACTATGGGGCCATTGATCTATGCTTAACTGGAATGATTGTTTTAATACAAACAGATGTTATTCCTATTCCAAAAGACAGTGCAACAGTTAATACATCCCATATTCTCTTAAAACCATCTTGTTTTTTATCTGACAGTTACGAGCTGTTTGAACTCTAGCACTCAATCTGCTGGAAGTTGCTGGGATTCATTCACCCATGCCGAGGGCTGCTGTCAATTAACACAGAAGGAGGCTTGCACTGGGTGGGCAGAAAGCTCTCTCTTTGCCCTGGCTGGTGATTTCTGAAGATTTTATTTGCTCCCAGGACTGAGATGGCACAAGAAGGTGAGAGCTGCCTCCAGGAGAAGTGTCCTGTCCTCCTAGGAAGGCCCAGCAAGCATTACATTTGTCCTTGCATCAGCAGAGCATTTGAAATAACAAGCTCCAGGAGCACCTAGGGAGAAACATAACAGGGCCCAAGAAAAGGCCGCAGTAACACGTGGAAAGTATACTCCCAAACAGGCCAGCTGCTTCTTCCTCTTCTTCTTCTTCACTCTGTTTACAAGTCTTTTAAGACATTTGCAAAGTGACCTTTACTGCCTCAGAGCAATTCATTTACACAAGAAATATTTCATAAGAACTGATGGTGTGCCAGATACCATGGGGATACACAAAGAAGTTGCCCCCTGATGTCACATCATATTAAGCAAGACCTAAAGTTACCAGGAGATAGTGGAGGTTTAAATGGCTCTGGAAATGCTAAGGGCTTTTCAAGAGGTGACCTCAAGGCTTTCCACAGTAACCTGACTCAAAACAAGGCCACTGCCAGGGGAGGCAGATGGATCTGGTCCAAACTGGGAGGTTCCAGGCTCCCCCTAGAAACTAGCCTGGCAGTCGTGTTTAGGGTTGTTAGTTCACCAGGAGGTTACCAGTTCAGAAACATGAGAAATACCCCATTCTGGTGGTCCCCAGACTCAGGGTTTCACTGAAGAATATTTCTGGAAACCGAATAAAACTATGCCTAGCAAACAGGGCAAGGGAAGGGGGAAACAGCCCCTGCAGAGCGCACAGCCGCTTCCTCATTTCCCTGCTGCCTTCCCCATGCCTTTGAAAAGGCAGCGGTGCAAACTTCTAAAAATATTCTCAGAGAGGACAAAACAAAAGGGGGATGCTCATTTTGAGAGCCTGAGCACCCATGAATAGGGACAAAGGCCGGCAGGGGTGGTGCGTCTCTCTCCAGCCTACCCCCATTACATGGGTGAGAACACACAGTCTCTTTAGCAGGGCTTTGGGGTCTTGAAGGATGAAAAAAAACAATAACTTGTGTTTCCCTCAGAATCAGCTATTATGATCCCCTATATTGAAGAAAACGTAGTAAATAATTATTAAAAACAACAACAGCAACACCAGCAAATACTAACCTGCAGTGTTTGCCTTCTTTCAACCACTTTCAGAGAATCAACTGTGGGTTTTAAAGTCTATTTTAATACAATTTCTAAGGGTTTAATGTGCATATAAAGGAGAAAATTCTAAAGGAACACTGTTTACAGATGGCTCTATTTGAAGAGTTAAAACCCTAGGATACAAGGGTCAGTTACAGACCACTCTAATCTGCTGGCCCTGCCCCCACCATGAATTCGCCAAGCAATCAGGTCGAAACACAACAGAAAATCACAGAGAACGCTTCCAGACCACAACTCAAATTCTTGGATTTTGTTTTTTAGCTCCGCTCCAGACGTATATGCTCATTTTTAAATGCTCTTCAGGGGTTCTAAGAATGTCTGAAGTGTAGAAAATTTTGAAAACACAGACTGCAGAAAGGAATTGCTCTTGTATTTACTTCTGGTAAATACAGACACAGACTCTGTGTCTGTAATCAGTCCGGGGGGCTTACGGGACAGGAGAAGGAGGCTGAGCACTGCTCTGGAAGAGCAAGGGTAAGAGCTGACGAAGAGTGGCTTCATGAGGGGCACGATGCACACTGGGAGTGTTCAAGCAATGGCCTGACCTACAGAGTCCCACCTCCCTCTCTGCCATCTGAACAGAAAGTCAGAGTGACTTCCCAGGAAGCAGCTTTGAGCAATCAAAGAGGAGAGGCCCTGAGATCTGGATCATTTGTGTTGCTGGAATCTTAATTCTCAGATCAGATGCAGAGTTCACCAAAGAGTCCACAGAACCTGGCAGGAGAATGAGAACAAAACCTGACTGGTACCCAATCAAGGGCCATGTCTGCATGAGATAAGAGATCCACCAGATTACAGCTGGAGTCCGTGACCACCCAGCTCAAACACTGACAGTGAGTAGGCTGGGGTGATTAGGGCCACCCAACTCATCCTTTCTCTGACCATTCTTCTTAGCACCTGAATAGGCTTTCTGGTTAGGTATAAGGAAGGAGCCATGATTCTTGGAAAATGAGGCAAAAGTCATCTTCCACAAAGAAACCCTTGAAAAGTCACTAAAACCATGATTAAAACAATGAATCTACAAATCGGTGATCAAATAGTAGAAGAACTTAAAATCACCCCACTCTTAAGTGATGAGAATGAACAAGCAGCACATGTTAAAAGGAATTAATAGTCTAGTATTTTGGGCACTTCCCTTAAAAACAGGCCCACGCAACCTTGGGAGACAGCCAGCCATCAAAACACGGCTCTTTGGCTTAAGAAAGAGCAGAGAAGAATTAAAGGCATATCATCGAGTTAAAAGTAGTTGATTGGCCACAAGTACTTAATGCCTCTCCCTCCTGAGAACCCACTGAACTAATAGAAGAATAACACAGGTATAAACTCAAAGCAGGGAGAATGAAGCCATTAGAAGAGAAGAGTTTTCTGCAAACTTATGGAGGAAAGGTAAGTGCCAACATGTGTGAAGGAAACCATAGTACAGAGACCCCCAGTCTGGGGAGGGGTCTACCTGCCCTCTGGAATCCCAGAGGCTCAGAGTTGAAAAATGCCCAACACAGGGAAGGCCAGGTCGACTGGGGCTGAAAATGGGGCAATTCATTGAGTCTCCACAGGAAGGCTCCAGCCCCCTCCCTGCCCACCCAGAGATCAGAGCAGGCTTGCACTTGGTGCTGTGGCTTGTAGCACCTTTTTGAGAAACTTGGCAGATCATCCATGGCCTTTCTCCTGAGACATCTAGTCATGTTTGAAATGTACTCTGTTTAGAGATTAGGATCAGAGAATGTGAGAGTTTGAAGAGACCTCAGAGCTCACCCAGGCCAACTTGCTTGTCTTGCCAGGTGAGGAAGGTGCAGCAAAAATAGCTTGCCCACTCGTCCTCAGGCTTTCTATACCCACTGCTTCCCCTCTAGAGTCATTGAGGTCGGGGGATTCTCAGATGTGACCCTGCCCCCCGCCCACAGCAGAGCAGAGGTACCTTCTGAGCGGTGGATGCACGTGTGCTGATTGTCACTCAGGAAGAACCCCTCCTTGCAGCGGCATTCGTAGCTCCCCATGACATTGACACAGGTGTGCTGGCAGCCGCCATTGTTCTCCAGGCACTCGTCCACATCTGGAGGGGGAGAAGGCTTAGCCTTTGCTTTTGTGACCGCTTCACACACCGCCCCCCGCCCAGCAACTCAGGGACTCCTGCTAAGCAGAGACAAGGTCCCTCTGCAGGTCCCTGCATCACAGCTCTCAGAATTGAAACAAATGGGGTCCCAGGTGATTACCCAACCCTCAGGGGTCTGGGGATCCCTTAAACAGGCACTCCATCTGGACACAAGATAATCAGTTCAGTAAGTATTTATTGAACACCTTCTCTTCCCAAAGCACGTGCCAGAGGAGACAGGAAGACAGACGAAGTTCCAATTCCTTCGCTCTATGAGCATCTCCTTCAGCAGAGGGAGAGACAACTGTACAAGTAATTGCGAGATAAGGTACAAAGGAAAGAGGTCACATCCAGCTGTGGGTAGCAGGATTCAGGTTTTATGGGAATGCTGATGAAGGATGAGCCCTGCAGGGTTTCTTCAATTATAAATAAGGAGAAGGAACTCTAGGCAGAAGAAAGGGCAGGAGAATAGCATGAAGGCTGAGGGGCACAGAGTATGTTCAGGTTAATGGTGGGTCATTTAATTTGGCTGACACCCAGTACATTCAGGGAATGTACAGGAGTCAGAGCTGGGAAGACAGACTGGGGTCACACTGTGGAGGACCTTGAATACCAGGCAAAGAAGTTCTTACTTCATTTCAGAAGCAGGTGGGAACCACTGGAGCAGGGGTGACATGGTTGGCCCCTCATGTTGAGAAGAATAAGGCAGCAGCTGAGGGTAAGACACAGGGAAAGGGAAGAACTGAAAGCCTGGGAGTCCAGCTTCACACGTGTGCCTGTAAAAGCCACAGCTGGCACTAGTAGGGGACTGGAGTGGAGGACTGGCAGTGAGGATGCCTAGGACGGAAGACATAGAACAGTGGACACGGTGCCTGCAGGGCTGGGAGCCGTGTGGACATGGGGTAGGGTGGCTGAGAAACAAGGGGAAGATCTGCACTGGGGATAGAAATGGGGGTGGAGATGCATTTGGTCCCCACCACAGCAGGGAGGTGATTTATGTGAGATGCTGACATTCAGGGCAAGGTCCACCAGGCTGTGGGAAACCTGAGCCTGGTGTTAGAAAGATAGCTTTGAAAACCATTTACATGTGGTGGCCTGATAAAGTGGTGGATGCAGATGAGAAAGTCAAAAGCAGGAGTGTAGGAAGGGAGAGGAGGAGAGAAAGGAGATAGTCAGAGGTTGAATTTGGAGAACACTGCGGGTAGGAGGAGGTAGAGGAGACAGCAGGAGCTCCAGAAAAGGAGCCATCAGCAGGAAGGGAGGGAGCCTGGCCCCAGGGCTATGCCCCAGAGTAGGGTTAGGAGACCTTCCTTCCACTGTGTCACATAATACCCTCTGCATGGCTTCATCAATACATTTACCGCAACACATCCTCAAAATTCTCTTTTTTAAAATTTGCACTTTTTGACCCCTCAAAATCTTTTACCTACCCATCTACACTACATTGCAGACTCCTTAAGGACATAGATTTTAGTTCTATTTAGCATAGGCCCAGAACCTGCAGGCACATACTAACTCTTCAATGCATGAACAAACCAACAGGAGAGCAAAGCATCACCAGAGCTAAAGAAGAGGAAACTTCCAGAAAAGTCCCAGACTGGCAGAGGTTCTAGGAGAAGGCTGATAAAACAACAATTTATTTTCTCCAGCCCAATTTCCCAAGTGCCTATCACCAGCTCCTAGGGGCATCCGTAACAAGAACATTCACATTTAAATATCTGTTATCTGGTTTCAAGCTTCAGATCTCACAGTTATCCGTCCTCCCACACTATCCAGCAGATGCCTTTCTAAACTGATGGGACTCAAGCCATCCCCTAAAGCCTAACAAACGTGCCCTCCTCTGTGCCAAAGGGCGAAGGGAGAACATTCCAGAGGGTGAGCTGCACGGGAACACATCCAGCCTCGGTGTTCCACAGTGAGGACTGGAGTGAGCAGGAGAGATCTGTTTCCCTGGACACCAAATCTTGCCTGCTTCTGAGTAAAGGGTGCTCTCTTCTGAGCTGCCCCACCCCACCCCGTGTTTAATCCCCTATTCCTTTTCTCCAAAGCAATCAGAAATGTATCATTAAGTTGGGTGATGCCCTCTGAGTTCACACAAAAGTGTGTGTGTGTATCAGTAGGCACAGATGTGTATCAGTAGACTGCTGAGTTGCTCCAGACTGTAGAACAGTGTTTCACAACCCTGGCTGCACGATGGAGCCCTGACGTCCGGACCCCACCTCCCCACACTGATACAACGAGCCCAGACCTTGTAGCTCCCACTGTGCTGTTGCACTCCCAGACGCTGGATAAATAGAAACTGAGTTCAGGTGGGGTGAGCTGTGTAGAAGCGCTGCATTTTGTTTTTCAGGCTCACAGGCATTCAGGATCTTGGAGTGCTCTAGAGCTAAGTGGTGTTTGTTTTCTGCATATCCTGGTTAATATACTGGCAGCTAATGTGCAGTCAGGGGGCTGAGGAAAGGTAAGGGTCATCCCAGAGAACACCGGAAACTGCCACTTCTAAACAGTTTTGGCTCTGAGCTTCTTTCTTGTCACCAAATGCTTGAGCTCTTTCAAGTCCAAGTGGCAGAGAAGTCTCCATGTATGCTGGTCCTGCTCTTCTCAATGGCCCGCGTTACTTTCTCGTGCCTTTCTTTTCATAGAACCCTTAGCCCCTTCAGATGTACTCAACGGGTGCTCAGGGTCTTTCTGCAAGGCAGATCCTCACTACAAAACCCACAAAGAGACCCCAAGGAGGGGAAATGGAGCTAGTCTGCTGGAATATGTGTTAGCTGCCAGGCAAGGAGGGACTTGGGGCCTCAGGATGTCTGAGCAAGTCTTTACTCAGAACCACCCCACCCAACCCAGCCCAGGTCCTTAACTCCTAGATGGTTCCACTCGTAGTTCTTAGGAAGCTCACACTTCCCCCAGGCTGTGGGTTTGAGCACAAGGGGTGATGACTGGGTCTGCCAGCCGGTACAAATCCTCAAAATGCCACTGTTGGCTAATCAAAAGGAAATGAGTGATTTCCCCCAGAAAATGGTTAAAAAAAAAACACCAAAAAATATACTTTATGCTTCTTGACAAATTACACACTAAAAGTTACTTCTTTTTCTTTTTCCTTTTTTAAGTTTTTAATTAATCTCAATTTATTGCTGCTCCCAGGATTATCTCCCTAATGTGTCTTTTTGTGGCATTGATGGCCTAGAAAGGCTGCAAAGGGGCTAGTGATTCCCCAGCCCTCAACCAGCTCTTCCTAATAGCTGCAGGCTTGGAAGGCCAAGTGGTCTGACCAATGCTTGACCTCTCACACAGGGCACAGACAGGGAGGGACTGAGTCTACATCAGGATGAGGCCCCAGGTGACATGATAAACGTCCTAGCACGGCTGAGTCCCAAATGGAAAAATTCTCCTTCCCCAGCACTCAAACTACAAGTTCTGCCTGTGGTCATTTAGTGACTTTTATGCTGATCTCAAAGCATTTGATCAAGTGGCTGTTCCCACTGCACAGCAAGGGAGCATTTGAACAGCTGTCCCCACTGAGTCAAGGCCTGGCTCAAGTTGCTCCTTGGTCAGCCAAGTGGGCATGGGTCAACTACATGAAGGGTCATCAATGTCAAAGGAATCTGATGTCCTCTGTCCCCCATGATGTCCTCCTGCACCACTGATAACACCAGCCTCAAAGTGCAAATAGACCACAAATACTGGCATTCCCGGTGTGCTGCATTCTCTAAGACTATCCAACATCTAACCCTATCCAATTGCTAGCTATTTTTAAACTCTGCTTTATTCCTGGCATAAGGAACCAATGTAAACAATGCTCTTTGCTGTCCCTAACTCAGAGACTGAAAATCTAACAGATGTTTCTGCTTTTTGGAATACTAGGAGGATGTTAATGGAAGGTTTCTGTTTAAATTTCTCTCTCTTTCAGGAAAATAGAAGATGTCTACCTGGCTGAGATCCAAGCACACATGTGGAATCTTCAGGACAAGTAGTTTTACATGATTCTGGAATAGAGACACTTACAGGATTAAAGAAATGTCTATAAGTCAAGACCCTTTTAACATAAGACCAAAGAGCTTAGAGGTTACAAATCAATAGTAGAAAGTCAGTAAGTAGTAATGATGCTGTCCACCCACCTCCTTGGACTAATGGAGGATTTATATTATGAATGATAACATAAAAACTAAAATACTTAACCTGGTTTTCTATCAAGGAATGTGATTTCTAGGGAGCCAGAAAACACAAGTCTCTGATCCGTTTTTATTTTAATGAATATGTTTTCATCAAAGATAAGAAAGGGATGGGGATGCTAGAGGGTAGGTAAAGGAGAATTGCCATGTCCAACCATTTTCCTTACCAAGACAATTATGACCATCATGAGCCAACATGAAGCCATCAAAACAAGTGCAGCGATAATTGCCGGGAATATTCAAACAGTCATGGACACAGCCTCCATTGAGTTCATTTCCACATTCATCAATATCTGAGGAATAAAACAGAAGTAAACCACACAGGCACTATTTCTTTAATGTGGAGATATATGCATTTACCTTTTAACCACCTATCCCACTTCCAGGAATCTACACTGAAGATATATCTCCAACAACAGTAAAATAAATACGCATAAGGTTATTCATTGCAGTATTTATAATTATGAAATACTGGAGACAACTTCAATGCTCATACATAACAAGTAGTTGAGGAATTAAGGTAATTTACTCAGTGGAATACTATGCAGTTGTTAAAAATAAACAATGAGAAAGAGCTCTATGAACTGACTTGGAGTGATTTTTAAGATACCCTAATAAGCTTTAAAAAAAATCAAGATGCAAAAGAGTATCCACAGTATGTTATCTTTGTATAAAAATAAGGGGATATAAAAACACACACATTTGAAATTCCAGCACAAATATTTTGCAGAACTTGAGAAGCTAACCCTAAAATTTATATAGAAATGCAAAAGACTCAGAAGAGCCAAAACAATTTTGGAAAAGAAAAACAGATCTGGAGGATTTTCACTTACTATGAAGCTACAGTTACCAAGACAATGTGTGACACAGGCATAGAGGCAGACAAATAGAACACTGGAAAAGAATCACGAGTCCAGAAATAAACTCTTATATTTATGGTCACTTGATTTTAGACAAAAGGGCTAAGGCAATTTAGTGGGAGAAATGACAGTCTTTTCAACAAATGTTGTTGAGACAATTGATATCCATACGCAAAAAGATTGATTTAGGCCCTTACCTCACACCATACACAAAAATCACAAAATGGATCAGAGACCTAAATGTAAGAGCTAAAACTAGAAAGCTTTTAAGAGAAAATATAAAGCTTTTATGAGAAAAATATTTGAGACCTTGGGTTTGGTAAAAGTTTTTGGATACAACACCAAACACACATTCCATAAATTTAAAAATTAATAAATTAGACTTTATGAAATTTTAAGACTTTTGCACTTCAAGAGATACTGCTAAGAAAATGAAGACAGGTCACAAATTGGTAGAAAATATTTGCAAATCACATACCTCATAAAGGAGTTTTAAAGAACACTTACAATTCAGTAAGAAGAAGACAAACAACTGAATTTTAGTATAGGCAAAAGAGTTGAATAGATATTTTACCAAAGACAATATGCTAATAGCTAATAAGCACATGAAAAAATGCATATCATTAATTGCTCAAGAAATTCAAATTATAATCACAATGAGATACCATTTCACGCTCTCTAGAACAGTTATAATAAAAAAAAAAGCAATGACAAATGTTGGCAAAGATGTAAAGAAATGGGAATCCTCATACGTTGCTGATGGTAACACAAGATGGTATAGTCACTTTGGAAGGTTCCTTGGCAGTTCCTTAAAAGCTTAAACATAAATTTACCATATGATCCAGAAATTCCACTGCTAGGTGTATATCCAAGAGAAATGCAAAATCATGTCTATATAGATTTCCAGGTGAATATTCAAAGAACATTTTTATTTATAGTAGCCCCAAAGTAGAAACAACCCAAATGCCCATGGAATACTAGTCAACAATAAAAAAGAATAAAACACCAGTACAGGATACAACATGGATGAACCTCAGAAACATTATGCTAAGTGAAAGAAGTCAAACACTAAAGACTGCATATTGTATGATTCCATTTATATGAAAAGTCCAGAAAAGGCAAATCTGTAGAGACAGGAAGTAGATTAGTGGTTGCCTGGAGCTGGGGCTGGGAACAAGGATGTTACTGAGATGGGGAAAATGCCTGAAAACTGTATTATGTGATGACTGTACAACTCAAGTAATTTACCCAAATCACTGATTTGTACACTTACTTAGAACTGATGAATTTTTTTGCTATGTAAATTATAATGCAGCAAAGTAGTTAAAAAGAAAATACATATTTAGCTGTTTATTTGTGCAAAAAAATTACAGGAAGGATAAACCAGAAACTACAGAGATTGGTGTGTGAGAGAAGGGGTGGAAATAAGGAGGAATGGGGCCAGGATAGGAATAGAAGGAGGGAGTAACACTTTTCTGAGCTTTTGTATAGCTTCGACTTTCAGAACCATGGTAGTTTTACACACATGAATACATATGTACATACATACATATACACAATCAACCAAGAAGCAGGGGCAGGGGTGAGGGGATGGATAAAAAATAGAATACAAAGAGAAACAAATGAATCTAACTGTATCATAAATGAATTACATAACCATACTGAAGTGGATGGGGAAGAAAAGAACTATTCTAAGTAACTTTGAAAAACAATATCTTTGGATGTTGTTAAGGCTAAAAACAAAAATAGTTGCATACAAATACTGTACCCTAATTATTAAATCTGTTTAACTCACAGAATTATGGATTAGTAATTCTGTAAATATTTTATGTGAACACTAGGATTGAACAAACAGGTTAATATACTTCAGATAATGAGAGCCAGGTTTCTCACTGTTGGAGAAACACTTATAAATAAGCCGAAAAAGGAGTTTAGTATAAATCCTGTCATATTGCTTTGGAATCTGAAGTATGAGTGTAACTTGCTGTTTTTAACATATGTAGAAGTGGATAGATATAAGGAATAAATGTAGATAAGTGTGTATGTATGGATTAGCATACATAAATAGATTTCCTAGCTCTGACCACCGAGAGGGCCTAGGAGTAATGACACTCCAGCAACAATGAAAACACCAAGCATCCAGATCTTAGTTTCTACACACCATTTTCCAATTAAAGGAAAACCAGGGATCCTTGGAGAAGTGGTTGATTCCAGGCTTGGGGAGCAGAAAATACAAGATGAATCTGGAGAATTTTGTGGTGCCAAAAAATTGGGAATTTCTCAAAAGAGGATGGTGGCATGTCAAAAGAATACAGGAGACAATGTGAAGGAGCTCCCAATGGCTAAAGCTGGAGCAAGTTGAGCCAAAAATAAGTAACTATAGAATTAAATAAATACCCATGAGTGTATACTGGCAAAAATACATAAACACATAAATCAATGCATAAGTAAATGGAGGAGAAGGGACAGATCTTCCTTACAGAAGAATTCCAACTCACAGACGTATAAAGAACAAGGGAAATACAAAATTACCAAGAGGCACATATCACAGTAATAAATGCTGCAGGCAAGATCCACAGTTGGATGCTAACATCAGTGGACAAAGGTTTGAGAACAAACAGGATATTAGCATAAGCTGAAGGTATCTGCCCCAAGAAAGGGAAAAAGAGTAACTTTGTAGTGGAGAAACCCAGACTACACCATCTAAACTAGATGATCAAGATTAACGTCCCCTGTAGTAGGACATGTTGACATCATGTGCCCCAGATGCACTGAAGAGCACACAACAGCACTTCAGTAGCAGCTTTGCAGAAAGCTGCACTTTTGTACTACTACAAATGCATAACCTCAATTTTATCACGAGAAAACAGAACGTTCTCTTATCATGTCTGTTCCTACCACGTCACTTCTTATCATGTGGAAACATAAGACAGACAAAAGAACTGAACAATTCTCATCAATGTATCAGTGTCGATGTCATGAAAGGCCAGGAAAGACTGAGGAACTGTCACAAATTGGAAGACACAAAGGAAACAACAGATAAATGTAATGTGGGACTTTGAGCCAAATTCTGTAAGAAAAAAAAATAGAACATAAGGGAAAAATTGGTGACACCTGAATAAGGTCTATACTTTAGTTAATAATATTGTGCCAATGTTAATTTCCTGGTTTTGATACTGTACTATGGTTATATAAGCTGTTAACAGCAGAGTAAGATATGTGACAGATGTGAATTCTGCACTATTTTTGCAAATTTTCTGAAGTCTAAAATTAATTCAAAATAAAAAGTGAAAAAAAGGAAAATACAAAGGCCAAGTCTAGATTTATCCCCATTAAACCTGATTCCAATCCTTAAACTGAGAAGTATGGACCATGTGATTAATACTGACCACTGAAACAACCCCTCTCTAAGTCTTGGATATAAGCAAAGATCATTTAGAATAAAACATTTACCTAATGCCACTTCTGAATCACATTATTTTAAAAAATACTTATTCAGGGCCCATACTTCCATTTTTCCAATATTTTGGCGGAAGAAACTGTGCGGAGGATAAAATTCTGTTCACTCAGGACAAACCAGTCCCCGATCCTTGAACTTAAACGGGGCAGTAATGCTAGTGATCATCACAATACAAATGATACCACAGGTTGGACCCAAGAGGCTTAAAAACTACTAAGGCAGAAAACATACACAAAGGAGTTGTGTCTTTGAAGATCTGTATCTTTGAATCCTTGTAACCCCTATTTTCTCTCCTTTTCCTTCTTAAAAGAAAGTTTCCATTTCTGAATGCCTGTAACAAGAAAGTCAAACTAAACAGGGACGTCCTTACTCACTAGGTTTATAAATACTACAGGTATTCAAAAGATCAAATCCTTCTAGGGTTTAAAATGACAGTACGAAGAATATATGCCCCCTGTTAACAGTGATTGCGTGTGGATAAAGGAATAGGAGGGTCTTTAATTTTTCACTTTACACACTTTTTGTATTGTTTTGTATTGACTTTTTATAACAATAATCACAGATTATTTTAAAACCAATATAAATGTATAAAGCAGCAATGCTAGTCAATCATTATTTTAAACTAAATAGTAGACTTTTCACTCTAAAATGTTGGCAATTAAATTGCATCAGTGATTAGTCAAACCCTACAGCTAAGAATAACCAAACTCTTGCCACTTGTCATTCAACATCATTTACTAAATATGTACTTTATCCAAAAGAAACCGTGGCATGGTTTCTACCCCTAGAGAGCATACAGTAACCAAAGGACACAGTGAAAAAGTGAACATTTTTTACCCCAAGCAAGATACCAACATGTGTGAATTCCAGTACTGTAAATGGAATATTTAATACAGTGAGGATGTGGTACGGAGGAATTGGCAGAGTGATGTTTCAGAAAGGTAGTCTTTTGGCCTCCCATGATGTAGGGCAGAGAGAGAGAGGGAGAGAGAGATGGCTGTCTGTCTCTGGGAAAATACAAACATGGAGAAACAGAAAGGCTTTATGGATGGACTGCCAGCACCACTTGCTGTGAACCTGACCAGGAGCACATCTCCTCTGATGGAAGAGGCAGGAGTTTTGCCTTTTGTGCACACAGAGGACCATAAATATTAGGATTTCTCACCCAACCAAAGAGGGACACCAGGAGGCTGAGTGAATAGGAGATGTGGGGCCAGGCACAGAGCCGGAGTGAGGATCTGACTTTCTTTCACCTGCAGGCTAACTGTGTGATCGTGTCCACAATCCCTTTCCCAATTCCCCTGGGCCTCAGTGTCCCCATCAGTAACATGAAGGATGAGACTGGCTCAGAGCTGCCTGAAGAGCCCTGCCAGCTCCAACATGTCACAGTTTCCATCCCCAGGAGCAGCCTCCTCTCATGAGAGTTCAGTCTCCAGCCAGTTCCCGACTTCAGAGCTTCTGACGTTGAGCTAATCTCCAGTAGCCCAGAACACAGAATGGCAGAGTCCAGACTTCAGGGCTCCCAGATCTGGAGCTATAAGGGCTCAAAATATCCCTCTGCAAACATCTTTCCAGAGGGAACTTGCAGCTCCAAATGAGGTGGGCTCTTGGTGCAGCTCTAAAGCTTGGCAGGTCACAATGCCAAACCGCCCAAAGCCATGGACAAGATGGAGCCACCAGAGCCTCAAGGGAAGGCAGGACCCTGGCACTCAGACTCCAGAGCGAGGATGCAAGTTGCCTCAGGGAGGCATAGGATCAGTCCTGCTCCGGCAGCTAGGGCTCTCCTGATCAACATGCTGTTTCTGCCCCTAAACTGAGTGGGACCAAAAGATACTAAAGCGCCTCTTCCCCTTTGCAGAAGCTAGACAAAAGGACATTTTACAGCCAAATAAAACTGATCAGCTCTGGGGAAGATCTGATGTTACCTGTTTTTTAAGGATCTGAAATGCATTTCAGAGAGTGGGTGATGTGACACCAGGCCAGCGGGTGGGGGTGGGGGTGAGGGTAGAAGTTCTTTTACCAACATGAGTGGCACTACAAGAGCTGCGGAGGTGAGGGGTTTCCCCTGCTGGCTCATCCACTGCTGGTCCCCAAGTCACTTACCCTCACACTGCCTGCCCTCCCCTTGGTAGCCAGGCCTGCAGGAGCACTTGTAGGAGGTGGGTGTGTTCTGACACAGGGCATTGGTGTGGCAGTCATCTAGCCCCTGAGCACACTCGTCCACGTCTGCAAAAGAGCACAGCAGCTCCTTGTGTGGTGCCCCAAGCCTTGGGTGACCTGGCCTTGGCCCCTCTTTAGCATCCTCTCCCACCAGCCCATCCCACTTCACATTTCACCAGCTAAACTGCTTGGGAGCCCCTGGGAAGAACCATTCCATTTCCAGGCACTGCCTGTTCCCTCTGACTGGGACACCCTCTCAACTGGCCTTCAAGACTCAGCTCAGACCCACCTCCTCTGGGAAGCCTGCCATGACCCCAGAGTGTAGGTGAGGTGTCCCCCACGATGTGCTCACATACCACATTGTCACTGTTTCCCTGTCTGTCTCCTCATCTAGATGGTGTCTTGATTACAGATTGGGTCTGTGCCCCTGAGGCCAAGCACAGTGCCTGACACATGAGTAGGCAATGGTAAAGGCCCGCGAAGGTAAGATCAAGTCGACAAAAACGCTCTGAAAACTGAGCAGCGTCTGTTAGCCTTCTCAGCGTTTGGGGTATGGGGGGAAAGCTCTCCCTGGGCTCCAAGCACACAATCCTGAGCCCTCAGATGGTGCAAAGAGAAAAGAAAGCCCCCCCCATTCCCGCAACCCTTTCATCACTGCCCACCCTCTCAACCTGGAAACTGGCCTTGGCAGAAGCATTTCTGGGTTTAAAGTATTGCGAGTCCAGTTAGCACAGAACGGCTATTCCCGGGTCCTCCAACAGCGGCTGTTCCGCAGACAGAAGAATCCCTGGAGCCGACCCTGAAGCCCATAGAAGAACTTCCCGGCCCCAAAAGAAAGCAGGAGCTCAGCTGCCACGGCCTCACGGTGGACCCCAGCCCCTCAGCTTCCCCATCTCCGCAAAGAGCCTCCAAGGCCGTCGCCCCTGCTCAGCCGGCGCGCGTCGGAGCAGCAGGCGCTCCCGGGGGGCCGGGGCGGGAACTGTCATCAGCCGCGGGTCCGAGGCCGGGCCGCGCACTCAGGCCCTGGGCCTCTAGCCCGAGCGGTGGCGGCGCCTTTGGCCTGGCCGGCGGGTGGGGCCCCAGGAGATCGGGGGCCACGCGGAGCGCCGCAGCCAAGCCCAGCCCCGCTCGCTCCCGGAGCCCCCGCGAGCGGACCGGGACCCCCTTCCCGGCGCCCGCCCCGGCCGCCGTGCCAGGTGCGCCCCGCGGCCGGACACTCACCCTCTGGCAGCCCCGCGGCTCGGCCCCGACCGGGCGGGACGGCCGCCGTCAGCAGCAGC